TTCGTCCAATGGTGCTTCCATCACTACCATCGCCTCATCACTTCGATAGCAGTTGTCAAGAACCTCTTCGTCAAATTCCACTTCTCTTTCTTTATATACTGATATATCTATTGAAGCCACTTGGTATAAAATTTAATCTGGTATTATCTCTACAGCTTTAAAAGTGGTTAAAGATGATGAAGTAAAGGCAGCAAGATTCTACATATTGTTGAAGATAAGAAATTGGAGAAGTTTGAATTTATTGGAAGAGAAAAGTGTTGATTTTGTAGTAGTATTAAAGTTGCCAAGAACAATAAAAAGCAAGTTAAAAGAAGTTACTTGTTGAATCTATTGAATAATAAGAGTTTGGATATATAGCCTAGTAATAGGATTATTGCTAGGAAGATAAGTAGAAATAATTCAAAATTTAAACTTATGTTTGAAAAAAAGGTTTATAAATATAGTATATCCAAGATAAATATTAATTTTGTAGATATAAGAAGTAAGGTATTTACAAATTATTATGGCAGTACTGGCTTTGGAGCTATTTGTATATAACTAGAAGTACATATAAGAGGGGGTTGTTAATAGTTTGGAATAAAATAAATTATATATGAGTTTAGTTTTGGTTAAGCAAATAATATTTAGGTTGTTGATTAGACAGTAGTCTTTTCAACTTGTTGTTTAAGTTGTTGGTTAATACTACAGATATTGTAAGTACAAACAGAGAGGTTAAGAGAGTAATAGGATAAATTAGGTAGTAATGTTGAAGAGAGAGGTTGTTTTGATTTAAGAGAAACATATCTGAACTAGTGAAATAAAGAGAAAAAGGGTAGTATAAAATGGTTAAGAAGTGGATAAGGCTTATGTAAAAAATAAATATGTGCCTCAATATAGTTATAATTATAGTCCTTATTATTGAAAATTGAAATTTTTATAAGGTTTAGTAAGTAGCATAAGGAAAATTATATTTAATATATTGAAGGAAGGTGAAGATAGTTTGAGAATATTCAAGTAGAGGTAGTCTATGATAGAAAAAAAAACTTGTTATTATATGTAAGAGGGTCTATAGAGTCTAAATCCTTAGTTATTTGTATAATAGTTTCAAGTTGTAAGTTGTTAGAGCTATGTTGTAAGTTGTAATCTGGTTTAGAGTCTAGAAGTAGTTCATTATTAGAGTTTAAATTTGAATGGACTGGTTAGTTAAATTTAATGAAGGTGATGTAATTTGTGAATCATAGAGGGCTAAAGATATTGGGATAAAACTATATAGGATATATCTTCTGTAGTAATTACTATATACCTGGCTTGTATGGCTCTGCAAAATTTAGAAGCTCTCAGATTAAACATTAAAGAGCTGTTGTTATTTAAATCTTTCAAGTAAATAGGCTTATCTATCTGCCTACTTATATTATTCTCCTTATTAACTGCTTCAGTTGCATTTTTTAATAAGGCAATAGCTGTATTGATAGAGTTGCAAAAGATATATTTATTGAAAAAGAGACTCTTTAAGGAATAAAGAGTCCTCAATTTTGTTAGAAACTAAGAAATTGAAATTAAATTTGGTGGTTAAAAGTTGTTTAGCTTTAGGATAGATATTTCTTTATAGTATTTTGCTGTTTGAGACTAGGAGGGTTGTTTGCCAAGAAATAGATCATAATAAAAAGTAATTCTAGCTAAGATGTTAGTATAGATAAGATTTTGCATAACTTTTCCTATCGCAAATCTTTAGTAAGATGTTTAATGCTAAGGTTTTGAGCAGCAATTTTTTGGTAAGCTGTTAAATATTTATAAAAAAGAGGTTGCAACAACTGGTTAAGATCAAGAAGAAGTTGGTGTTACAGTATTTTTCTTATACTTGATTAGCAAATTTATCAAGAAAAATAATAGGTATAGGTTTGGAAAAAGTAGCTTTATATTTTTTATCAATATAGAAGATCGAGTTGTTAATATGAAGCTTATCAAAAGTTAAAGTTTCTTTAGAAAATTTTGTAAAAGAAGTATTTAGAGTATCTTTAAAAAGTGTATTTATATTATACTCATAGTCAGTTATATATAGGGTGCGGGACGGGTCAGGCTTGTTTAAACTTGACTTAGATTCAAATAAAACCTAACCTGAACCTGACTGAATAAAAAATTTATTATTAGGTTCGAGTTAGAGTCAGGTCAGGTTTAAATGAACCTGATCTGATCTGATCCAACCTGATTGTTTTTATATATATCACGAAGTGTAGGCATTTTGAGTAATGTATGTCTACAAGAACTAATAATTTGGACAATGCATTAAATAAAACATGAAATTCTGCACTTAAACTTCATGATATTGCATAGTACTATAATACAGACTTCAATATAGTTATATATGTGTTACTAAAAGAAAGCCTAACAATTTAAATATAAATCATATTTAAATTGTTAGGTTTTCTTTTAGTGACACTTATATAGTATTTAGTTGACAAAACTCTTTCCGTTTATCACTCGTACACAAATTTTTTACAAAACTAATTATTTAAAAAAACAGCTTACAACCTTTT